AAGAGTGAGTTATTCTTGAAATTTTTCTGGTACTGCAAAAGCATTTTCATGGGAGGTTAAGAATGCTGTTTCATCAGCAAATATTGATATCGTGATGTCTGTAGAAACAAGTAGATCGTCCGTGTATAGTATAGTAGCGGGCCGAGAACACGTACTTGCGGTACTCCGGCTGCAATTGGATAGAATGATGTTTTTCCCCTGAGTTTTATTTGGAAATATTTTCAGTTACATAGGAGCGAAGTAGTACAAAAAATGGTTGGGGCAATATATTTCTGATTTTATATAATTGTCCTGAATACCACACGTTGTCAAAAATTTGAACGACACCCAAAAACGCACAACAATAACGTTTCTTCTCCAGCGCTTCGCTGATGACCTTAACTATTCCGTGAATTTGTTTTGTAGGTGCATGTTTCATCCTGAAGAAGAATTGATAGTCTGAGTTAATATTGTTTTCTGCTATTATTGGAGGTATCCGCTTGAGGGGACACTTTTCGAACACTTTTGACAAAACTGGTAATAAACTTCTAGGGGCCTAAAATAAGTTACTTCGGAAATAGGTTTACCCGGTTTCGATATGACATATTTGGCTGTACTTCCATTTGAGGGAAAATGTCCAATTCTAATGACGTCGTGGTAATGTGATGTTACCAATGCTAGTCAGGTTTCTCGGAACAAAGTTGATGATGAGATCATAGCCAGGTACTTTATCAGGGTTTATCTGTTTTATTACATTTGGAATTTCTGTTGTCTTGAAATACATTATTGGTAGCGACATTTGATAAAGTGTATTAATGAATTGAATAACATTTCTTTCTTGGTCTTCTCTATCATGTGAACGGTTGAAAAACATTCACAAAATGTTCTGCCAATACTGCTAGATTTTCGCGGTTGGTTCTAGCCCAGTTACCATGTTTATCAGATGCTTCAAGCTGGAACAGTCATGTCGGCACACTGGAATAAAACATGCCAAATGATTGATTGCTAATTAATTGTCAAAATTCCGAATTAATTGCCACGTATATTCGTGCGAAAAGTGTGATCTGGCTTAACCGGTGAAGCCAGTACCCAAAATTAAATTCAGGCTGTAAATGACCGTTTTCGCAACGGAAATACATGGCAATTAATTCGAATTTGTTGCAATTAATTGAAAATAATTAGCAATAAACCATCTGAGGGTTTCCGTCGAGTTACGATGCGACTTTAACGTATGTATGTCCTGGCGCGTAGCTCACAACCGTTTTCGCTACGAAGATACTTGGCAATTAATTCCAAATTGTGGCAATTAATTAGCAATAAATCATTTGACATGTATTATTCCTGTGTACAAACATGGCTGTTCCAGCTTGACGCATCTATGTTTATCACGTATTGGTGGTGCAAATTTGATTGGTCGTTTAATGCGTTTTGTGGCTTTCCATAGAGATTAGTCTTTGATTTGTGACTGTCTTTTGATATACTCTTTGCGTGTATGTCTTATAGAAATCTTTTAAGATCTTGCGCTGCCTTGTTAAAGTTTCATTTGTCATTTGGATCATATGAAAGTTTGACAAACTTTCTTAAGTCACCTCTTATCTTGTTTCATCGCGTCAACTATTTTGGGATACTTGCGAGTAGCTGTTTTGTGCATTTCTGGTGTAGCACATTATACTGCTTGTTGCGGAGTACTGATAGTTAAAAACTGAACTACTTCATCTATATCGAATTCGCTTTTTAGAGGAACGTTTGCAGTAATATTTATATTCATCCATGTTTTAAATTCACTCCAATTTGTTTTTTATTAGAAAAGCTAGGTTTCAAATCGGTTTCTATTATATGAGAGCTAATAATTAATCTGGCAGGGGTGTGAACGGAGGACAGTTTTAGAGAATTTTCAATTGATGTAAAACTGATTTGTTCCTCCCATGATAAAGAAATTAAAGAAGTCCGGTGGCCTGTAATGATATGTTGGTCAGTACGTTGGTTCCCCTGTCGGTGATGGTTATGCGTTGAATGATGTGACTATGTTGGGCAGTGGTTTGATTCGTGACGCCGATAGTCTTCAACCCTACTGCGTGTTCTTTTACGTTGAAGTCACCTCTTGAGATGAACCTTGGACCCAACGTGTCAAAATATTCTCTGTACATGTCTTCCGATAGTTTGTTTTGGAGGACTATTGTCGGCTGACACAGTTAATGAACCCAAGCTTAAAGTAGAACATATGTGGCCTGCAAGTAATCATTTTCAAAATTCGATTTCAAGAAAAGTGTGTCTTTATATTTTCGTATCTCTATGGGCTGTGCGAAAGAGTACTAGATATAGAGTCGCTCATAGTTTTCCAATGAAGCCAGTGAGTTCGCGCGGCGGCCATATTGGTACAACCCAATTCGGCGTTGCCGCGTTCTGTGTAAGTGTGCGACGCAGAGCTGAATTTTACTTCGTTTACATTTAGAAGAGCTTGTCGTGTGATAGAGTGATTATCTATTGATTGGGGCTGGTGTATTGAAAGAGTAATTAGCTATACTCACTAGTGTTGCATGTGGTTGCGTGAAAAAATAGGATAAAAAACGTGCCAGATATAACCTTCAACACGTAAGTGTTTAGGATTTGTTTTACTAATGAATTAAAAATGTGTTATTTATATTAGAGTGATTTTTCAGCTTTCCAAAAGATCTGTTAATACGTGGGAAATGCATTGCGGCTGTGACATGGGAGAACTGGACCCCAAACGTATTGTTCTACCTTATGTTCAGTGCATTTTAAAAGTGATTATTTGGATCGCACGTCTTTGGCTCGTGTACAATTGAAGACAGGATCTGTCCCTCTGGCTTTCCCTGCTTTCCCGAAGTATTTGCAACTTTGCAGAGATCTGGACTTTAATGTATTGTCAATATATTTTAGTTTTAATAAATGGTGAAATTGTATGACTTGTATGTAATTTATATTGACCTACACTTGATGTCATCCAATAGACGTAATTCGAACTAATACTCAGAGTTTTTCTTGGACATTGGGAATTATGTATTACCCAGAATAAAATTGTAAGTTCCGTATTTGTTATTATTTCAATATAATACGCTCAAAATCAGCTGTAATCTTAAGGGAAATGTGCCTATAAATATTAAACATAAAAAACAGGAAATTGTCAGTCACTATTACATTAATTCGTATTCGATGAATTTGGCCACAGATTTTGTGACAGACAATAGTTTTAAAAACGTTTTGAAAGAACTCAGAATCACATAATATTAAACTTGAACGTTGTTTTCATTACTGAAAGTTTGCTCTGCGTCGTTTCGAGGACATGGAGTTTTCCACATTTTCAGGCTACACTGAATATAAGCGAAAATTGAGGTTTTTAATAATGTTATAAGTTACTGTAACTAAGTAAGTAAGTAACTACTGTAAATAAGTTACTGACGTTAATATATAAACTATACAATTATAATGAATCACTAACACTCAGTATATATATATATATATATATATATATATATATATATATATATATATATATATATATACACATACATACATATTACATTATTATATTTTTATAGTGTATGTTTTTTTATTTTTATATATTTTTCTAAATTGTGCCTAAATATGCCATTTTTCTTTCACCCAAGAAAGAAAACTACGATAACCTGCTTATTATAACCCTAAATATAAACAATTGGACGTTTTGTGTACTGATTTTAAATAGTGACAAAATTAGAAAGAAGTTTATTAAGTATTTTATTACTAGACACACTAGGTGTCAAAGTAAAATTTTCTGATTGAATTTTTAGCGTACTGCTATCGTAATAACTCTTTATTTATCGTGCTCTTTGCAGTGAACTATCTCAAAGTATGAAATATTTGCTGTCTTACGTAATAAAAAATATTACATTTTGCTAGCTATAACGTAACTTTTGCCAGAAAGAATTGCCCCAATATGGCGGCGCGCGCAATTGTGGCAGCTTCATTGGCATTTACAGGAAGAGATACGTAGGGGCGACTATGTATAGTACACATTGGGCTGTGTCAATGGGTGTGTCGTATTACACGCGCACGTTTTCTTGAGCTCCGGCATACCTACCCCCCACTCCTTTACTAACATTAGTTGGATTCAGATTAAATGATAGCAATACGTATTGTTGACAAACTTTGATAACCAGAAGTGTTTTCTCCCGTCTAATATAAAATAGTTTTCATCGAAAAACGAGCTACAGATTTCATATAATAGTCCTGTCAAGAAAATAATCAAACCCTCCACTCTGCTCGCATCTAGCGAAATGAGGGCTCAAGAGAACGTGCGGGGATAATATCAATAATTTCATAGTTATGTAGTTAAAGTAACTTTACTGTAAAATGAGTTTCTTAATTGAGCATTAAATCAAAATTTTTGTCTTGCTGAAAATTGATAGTTTTTCTGCATCGTTGCGCTAGTCTGCTTTCTCGCAATTAATTAGCAATTAAATAGTTCTAAATGGAGGGACATTTGTTTTGTGGTAACCGAATGTGGTGGTGCCAGCTTTTTCTTAAGTTAGCTCGCGATTAATTACTCGGAAGCTTAAAGAGCAATTAAATTTTTTTTCGTAATGAATTAGCAATTAAATCGTTCTACAAGATGAAATGTTTGTTTTTATGGTAACCGATTGTGGTGTGTCAGCTTAATGTTAAGTTATCTCACCATTAATTTCTGGGAAGTTTGAAGAGCAATTAAATTAATTTTTGCGTAATTGAATAGCAATTAAATCGTTCTACAAGATGAACATTTTTTGTGGAAACCGATTATGGTGTGCCAGCTTTATCTTATGATAGCTCGCCACTAATTACATAAACATCTGAAGAGCAAAAAACAATATTTTGCATAATTAATTAGTAATTAAATAGTTCTAAATTGTGGCCGATTTGATTTTGTGGTAACCGATTGTTGCAGTGTAGCTTAAGAGAGGTAATGTTTGCTTCTACACTTAATTTTGTATGCAAATATTGGCAATGGCAACTATCGATAGTTGCATGAGAGCTGGTGCTTATTTTGTAGTAAGCAAGTTTCCTAAGAGATGGCGTGATGTCAACAATGATCAGTTATGGCTGCACTACACGGTACCTGATGTTTTGTGGAGGACTACAAGGTAGTGTCTTCAAAGTTGATTCCTAAGTTTTTGTGTAAAATGTTTTCCCCAAAAAGTTCATATGTGATAGGGAAGAAATGTTTATTTTCGTGATCATGGAAATTAATTGAGTGTACCGGTATGATGCATGTTGCTTGACCATCCTCGAACATTGCCCTTTCATTTTCGGGGTAGCTTCCCGTAGTGATGAATGTTGATGTTTTCAGTCAGAAAATGTATTTGAATCATGACAACTTCATTCTGTGTCCTTTTTCTGTGTATAGGTTGTTGAGCAAGCGTCGTAAGCAAAGTTCGATACATAGTTAATCTGATGTGTATGTGTAATTTTATCATTTTGACATTATTGTGATTACTGGTACAGTGGAGTTCATATTAATTGTGTTCCCAATTATCTCTGCAGAATGCCAATTCAAGTGCCACCATGGACAGAGTTTCTCTCCTGCCCAGTATGTTGCAATGAATTTGATGCTACTCTTCGAAGTCCCATTAGTCTAGGATGTGGACATACAGTTTGTAAGACTTGTCTTTCTAACTTACATCGTAAACAATGCCCATTTGATCAGGTAAGTTTTATTGATGTCTTGTAATGTTAATATTGTTTAACTGTGTGATTGAGATTGTTTTATCAGGTAGCATGAGATGTATAAAAACTAGTATGAGAAGTTTTGAAGAATACAATCGAACAGCTTTGTTGACATTAATATTGTTATTGTTATTATTATTATTCTTTCTGCTCCATATACATTCATAGTAATTCTATTACAATCTCACAATTCCATTCATAGTCACTTTTACATGTTCATCAATATTTATGTGACTTTTTGTGTATCTGTCAATTACATTACAAATCATTTGCAAACATACACATATATATACGTGCAAAACATCATATGATGTTTTGCATATATATATATAGTTATGAAGTTAATAGTTAAACAACATATTTTATAGTTAGAATGGTTTACCAAATAACTAAAGTTAAAAATCACATTAAGTATTAGTACCGTTTTTTCATTTATCAGTAAGATAAGTTAATATAATCATTAGTCTGTGATTAAAATGTCTCTACATTTGATGTGTCAAGGGAGTATGAATTTGAGATGTCTGAAAAGTCTGAAATCAAGAACTTCCAATTTTTGAAATTGGAACTCACAATTGTTTAATATGGTTTCCTCTCCTAACTGATCAAGTGTGAGAAATATTAATCGAAAAATAACTACAATTATTCGTAATAAATTTATATATTACACATTTAACCTTTCAACATAACTAAAACGTTTGAGAGATATTGAATATACATATATACTATGCTACTTCATCAGTGTGTATGGACATTTCACAGTTTAACATGAATTTTAAAGCAATTTTGAAGTTTTTGACATTTGTGGATTTGAAATAGTCTGATGGTTTATAATTCTATTGGTGTGTAATGTAGGTCGTTATGGGTTGATGCCTTTCTGATACACAATTTGTGATAGTTCAGCTGTCCATGAATACAGTAATTACATGTTTCATTATTTTTCTGTAAATTTCGAATGGGGTGTTTCTTAAAAGTAGTAGTATTCAGTAAGCACATAGTGCTACTGCAGTCCTTAAGTTAATAGTACATATAGTATTTCCTACAAGTTTGTGTGGATTTTAGCTTTAAAATAACAGGATAGTTCCTTTTTTTGTGGAACAAATATCCTATTCATGCTAGTGATTGTTGTGCATCTCCCCCATATATTTCTATTCCTTGTTATGTATGCCAGTGTATTATTCTGCAGTGTGTACACTTGTCATGATTTTTAATGAATTTCATAATATAAATTTTAAGTTAAGTATATTCTGTATCTATGTTTTTTGTGTTACACAACTTTTCATGTAGATGATTTTAAAGGAACTTGTGGCAGTTTGATTTATGGTGTGGTTATCTTGTAGAATTGTCTAGGCCACTGTGGTTTCAATGGTAGTGTATTGTGTTTAGTTTATTGATGTCTAGGTGTATTTTTTTTTGGGAGGGGGTGAGATTTGTGAAAATGAATTAGTAATTTTCTTGTAGCTATGAGATACTTTCATTGATGCTGATTAGGTGGGATTGGGG